ATCATTTGGCACGTTTCAAATTCATAATTTGTAAGAATGTAATCGGTGATATTAGCATTAGCATTCCTATGGGTTTTTCCACGTATATTAGCATTGCGCTAACCACTCACTGCCAAATTGCAGCCTTTGCAATTAGAAAATCTCCTTTTGTCACATTGCAATTTAATTGCACATGCAGTTAATCGTTCAGCCCTAATATACATGCAGCTCTATGCTAAAAGTGTATTTTCAAAGAGGTAATGATGAATTTCTTTGTAAAAGTTGTCCGTCTTTCAAACAGAAAGATTTGCCTGGACCAACGTAACCTGATAACAACGTAACGTGATTACGTAATTCCGTAAGGTTCATGTTCAGCCAATCAACTACTTTGACGTCATCGGCAGTCGACGGGCCCCGAGCCGATCTTGTACCGACACCGGACTGAGCTCGATAACTGACCCAGCACAGCCACTGGGTCGTTGGAGCTGCCCCGTGACTGTCTGATGGAAAACCAGCGGGTTTCATCAAACTCGTAAAGTTTCTTGTTTTTGCTGGGGACCCCTGTATTTTACCGCTCCCTCCTGCAGTCTTCCCCTATTAAAATTTAAAATGATTCTGTAAATTCTGTGTATCAATAGAAAAAATCTCTGTCTCTGCCAGCTGCAGTAAATTTAGTTTCCAAATAATAAATAAGAGGTGAATTTATCTGTGTATCTCCTTCGATCCGCATTAGTGATATTTTCAGCACCAGAACAGTGAAGCAAAGAAAGATTCCTGAGTTTGTTAGTAATTTTATTTGTTAGGTGCATTGAAAATATATGTATCTACCTTATAAGCTTCTTTTATATATTTACCTTATAAGCTCATTTGTATTACTCTATGCTATGGACACTTGCTCAGATACTCAAGGCCTCTACACAAAGATTTACAGCAGCATGTTCTGTTCTGCACCATAGAAATGGAGTGAGCACATTCCAGCTCCTCTCACTCTCCTCTCGATACCGGCGAATGTATCTTTCTGTCAAGGATGTATCAGGATGTTCCTAGTAATCTCAAGGATGCATGTTCTAGTGATGTATTAAACTGTCCACTAACAAGGCTGTTATTTTTTACCTGTCATGACCAATGACGTATGTACATGGCAAACTGCGTATGTAACATTCCTGTAATCTTCAATAAAAATCAGCCGTTTTCGGCAGAACGGAGAGAGTGTCTGAAGCAACTGTCAGGAGCAGATCGCGGGACCTGCTGAAGTTGCAAAGCTCTCTCCCCTCTCGAGCGGTGAAACAGTGACTGGACTTCTCTGATCATTTGACTCCACATTCTGCCAACTCAAAAGGTGTTTAACTCCATCTTCTCCGTACCTGTGCTTGGTCTAACAGAAGAAAGACCAACAAAATTTGGCGTCACGAACAGGATTTTTTCTTTTTGAAGAAAAAGGAGTTTTTGGAGGACGATTTGACCAACCGACCCAGCGAACGATCTTGGCACAAAAACACTGCGGTGAAAAACTAAGGTAAGCAGGCCTTATTTTCTAAAATCTGCTCATTGGATTTATCCAAAGCCTTTGTGTCCAGAATCATAGTAGCTGTGGTCCTAAAATAATAGTTGGAGAAGAAAGTGGAGACAAGTGCAGAAAAAATAAGAGATTTTTGTAATGGTTTAATGGTAAAATAAGATAAGGATTTTTTACAATGGTTTAATGATAAATGAGATAAGGAAATAGAACAGAGTTTGAGGCTGGAGGCCTAGGACAAGGTCCTAAAATCCATTTTCCAGGTCGTGGCTGACCACACTATTTGCTGACGAGTGAATAGAAAATATAACGAGGTTATATAACGCTTGGCTAGGATTCCATAGGGGTGGGAACCCTAAAAGTCCACAGGTCGAGGACCTGGTTCGGGTTAAGGCCCTGGGAGGCTAGAGAGAGAGCTCCCTAAATTTTGTAGCACAGGTCGAGGACCTGGTTCGGGTTAAGGCCCTGGGAGGCTAGAGAGAGAGCTCCCTAAATTCTATAGGTCGAGGACCTTTGCATGAGATGAGCAATGTTTTTAACTGTTTTTGCATGAAATGAGCAATATTTTTAACTGTTTCTGCAAGGAATGAGCAATGTTGTTATGAAACTGTTTTTTGACACAAAACACACGCCATAGTTAGAGAACACGCTGTATGAATGTCAAGTCTCAATCAGCTTTGTCGGTAAAACAGATGGAGCTGACTGATTAACTTGAATTACATAATAAAAGAGACAGAATAAACTCCAAATGAGAGTAAATAAGTCTCTTTAGGCTTAGCAAACATATTATCTGCACTCACAGTGCAGATAGTAAGGATAAGTGTAAAAACACATAGATTTTTCATATGATTTTTCATATCACAGCTAATAGGGATTAGTTGAATAAGCGGTGATCACCACACCCACCGCAGATAAGATGGGTAATGAATGAATGAACTGTACTAACAAATTGTATGTGTAAGTGAGAGAAATACAGCGTGCCTTTGTGGATGCTCTAGGCAAGATTTCCTCACCTGAAATACGGTTGAAGAAGGAAATACCACAAAGGTCATTGGCACTGTCTCACTAATTAATACTGGTGAGTTAGAGCCCCCTATGGGCTAAAACCCTCATCAGTCCAAATTGTCACCAAAATCAGCAACATACTAACAGAATGATGGAAAAAGAATATGATTGTGGAACGGAGGATGATGGATGGGGACCTAATGACATTCTGAGTACACTGGGAGAGCAATTAGCTTGCATAGAGACTGTAATAAATATGACAAGCAGCCCAGTTGAAGCCACGAGTAATAAGGTTTTATTGAGAAAGTCAGCAGAAAAAGCGATGAAGGAAAAAGGAGTAGATGTTAACAGCAGAGGTAACTGGAGCAAGATTTGGGAAGTGAAGGCTGCAGAAGCGAGAGAAAAAAGGCAGGAAGCTGCAGAGACTCTGAGGGAAGCTGGAGTGTTGGCAAGAAAGAAAGTAAAAAGTGAGGTTGACAAGCAGGCAGCTCGTGTGAGTAACTACATGCAGTGGATAATGTTATGGAACACCGCCAGGCCTAATATGAAGAGAGTAAAGAAGGAAAATAAATCTCCACCTCCTTACTCATCTGCTGCTCCGACAGCTGGAATGTATCCATTAATTAAAGTTACAAGCGGTACATTGGACATTCAGCCTGAAGTTCCGCTTGATAATATGAGTGAGTGGTCAAGTGTAACCATGACATCAGGATCAGACGTTAAAGTCAGGCCCTCAGCCCCTGAGACACATAATCCTTTCCTGCTAAGCAATGAAACATTAAACAGCAGTCCGTCTGCAAACAACCCAGCTGCACCGTTCGAATTAAGAGCTAAACGACAGGACATAGATAACTCACAAAAACAATTCACCACTCCCTACTTCAATCAGGGCCTGGTCGCACCTGACTACAACACGGGTATGAGCTCCCATGCTCCCCCTCCAGCGCCTTGGGCAAACTGCCCACCAGTATGGCCTAAAGCACCAGATCAAAAGCAAACACCAATTTTTGCATCCTCCCAGTTAAAGGGTGAAGAGCAGGAAGACCCTAATAAAAGTGTAGTGGTTAAGATGGTTCTGGTGGGGCATGAATCATCTGATCCCCCTCCAGCAGCCAGTCAGAGTCATGAATCTCTCCTAGAGGAGGAATGGCCAGAACCGCCCACTAAGGAAGAGTTTGGGGGAGAAGGGGATTTGCTTTCCCGCCCTCAATCCCCAGAACCAGAAAGAAGACATACTAGGTCCATGGGCCCACCCACTTACCAATTACCCCTGGTGCAGAATAAACCCAACGCCCAGAAAGTCTATCCGCCGTATTCCCTTGGGGACATTCAGGCTTTAATAGATAAATTACCAGACATACAGGAGGGTGGAAATACTTGGCTCTCAGACTTTGACACCCTCACTGCTGGACAGGACCTTGCATTGGGAGACTTCAGAGCAGTAGTCACTAGGTGCACGTCACGCTCACAGGCGGAGGCCTTAGAGAAGGATGCTGGCACAACTCGTGATTCTAATTCTGTACCTCTCGGTAGAGTGATAGCTCAATTAGGCCCAGCAGTCAGAAAGATGTTTCCGCTGAAAGATAGCAGCTCAATGTGCAAATTTAAATGGGATGCTAAACAAAATCCTTCAATTTACCTGAACCAAGCCTTTGACACCTGGGTGGCCCAAACTGGCCAACACCCATCCAAACGGGGCACGAGCAGTATGTGGTTTAAAAATGCAGTCCTGAAAGGAGTCCCTGACTCGGTGACTCAGAAAATGGAGGACAACCCTGATTTGCGGGATTGTGATTTTAGCAAGTGGAAAAAACATCTTATTTTTAACCTTAATAAAATGCAGGTAAAGGAAGAAAAAGACTCTGATAACTTAGAAGATTTACAAAAACAATTGCTCAGGGTCCAATTACAAGCCGCAAAAAAGACTTTAGATGAAAAGGGGGACAAGGTTAAGAAACAAATGGTTGCGTCCACAGCCACACCCCCACCACAGCAGACACTTCCTGATCAGGTTTCACCTATAGCTTGGCAGCCGCAGCCACCATATTCAGGGCAGCCACAGCCACAATATTCAGGGCCATATGTAAACACACCCAACCCATATGCTGCCCAGCGACCACCTTTTGCTGGTCGAACCAGAGGCGGTTTCAGGGGAAGGGGACAGTGGAGGCCAGTAGGCGGCAAAGGGGGACCACGTGCTCAAGACATTTGCTACAACTGTGGTCAACCAGGACATTGGTACAGGAACTGCCCCTTGCCATACAGCCCACAAAAGGAAGGTCGAGGCAGAGGCACCTTTTCAGGACGAGGAGGGCCTACCGGACCCCACACCCAGATGCCAATGATGGGCTGGGAACAGTGGGAGGGTGGTCCAAGGCAATAGGACGCCCCACAGAGAAACTCCGACGGTCAGGGAGCCACGGCAGACCCCCTGCTGTCAATAACTGTAGATGGACAACATCAACCATTTTTGGTTGACACTGGTGCCACCTGCTCCACCATGCAAACTGTACCGCCCTCTAAGACATCTACACGCACTATCTCAGTTATGGGCTTCTCTGGGGAACAACAAACCCTGCCTTTCTCCCTGCCACTCCCAACTACGGTGGGAAACCAGACAGTACTGCACAGCTTCGTCTGTTCACCAACAGTTCCAGTCAACTTACTAGGAAGAGATCTCCTCATCAATTTAGGAGCCACCATTTTGTGTGGTCCTACGGGACTTACTGTCACTCTGCCAGAAGGGACTATTTTGCCCTGCACCGGAGAAGTCAGTGATGGCATGTACTTGGCCCAAAAACTGCCTGACATATCAGACTGTGCTGAGATTTATTGGGCTCTGTTGGACACAGAAACCAAGGACACTCCTGGCTTAATGACTCTGTACCAGCAGTGGAAACCCTGGCTGACTCAGGTCCATCCTTATGTTTCTCCCCCTGACCCTCCTCACCTAACATTATTCTATGACAGACATGATTCAGTTTGGTACAAGGAAGCCTTCCAAAATCATTTAGAGGGACAGCAATGGTGTGTACAAACAACAGATATTTATGCTGCACCAGAAGGTGTGGCCGCAGCAGCCAACCTAACCCAGGAACAATTGGCATGGTACATGATGGGAGATGAGGCAGTACCTCATGTCTCTCTTGCTTTATATCCGGCCCATCAGGCAAAAGAACTAGGAGGAATGGTTAAACGTTCCCTATCAACCACTGATTGGCGTTCAACTCCTCTTCCACAAGTGTCGTATTCAGACTCAACTCAGACATTTAAAATCACTGCGGTTTGTACTAATTCGACACATTTACAACAGGAAACTATTAGCAGATCTCATGGCCGTGAACGAACCGATCACCCTGATGCTCTAATAATGTTAGACTCGCTTCCCACCTCCCTGTGGTCAACAGGCCCCACCGATGTTGGGTTGGTGTCCATCCCACCTGTGACCTTTCACCTAAAAGATCATGCTCCCCTGTGGGTTCCACAATACCCACACAAACCATATGCTGAAGAGGGGATAGCAGACACCATCAATGGCCTGTTGCAGGCAGGGGTGTTGGAGCCATCCATGTCAGAAGGGAACACTCCAATTTTACCTGTAGAAAAGAAAAATACTGGTAAATATCGAATGGTTCATGACTTGCGTCGTATAAACGCCCTACTTAACACAGATTCACTTCCCGTCCCTAACCCATATGTGGCTCTGACAAATTTACCACCTTCACATGCATGGTTTACCTGCATAGATTTGGCAAATGCATTCTTTTGTCTTCCACTTCATGAGTCTCTGAGGGACATTTTCTCTTTCACATTCAGAGGGCAGCAATTCAGATACACGCGGTTGCCACAAGGGTTCACCCTGTCACCTGGTTTGTTCAACCAATGTTTGCGTCAGCTCCTAGACACATGCCCCCTACCTGATGACTGTGTTTTGGTGCAGTATGTTGAAGATTTGCTCCTGTCAGCGCCCTCTGCAGGCTCCTGTCTACAAGCTACTCAAACACTACTAACTCATTTGGCCAAGCTTGGATTTAAGGTCAGCCGGTCCAAACTTCAAATAGCCAGGAAACAAGTGTCATTTTTGGGCAGAATGGTTTCACAAGTTGGTGTTTCATTGTCACCAGATCACAGAAACTCCATTCTCCATCACTCTAAACCTGAAACAGTCAAAGACATGTTATCTTTCCTAGGCCTGACAGGCTACAGTAGACACTTCATCCCTAACTATGTTGGTCTCACTGCCCCACTACATGCTCTCATAGCACCTTTTGGGATGCGTCAACTCACAGCTCACCTGAACTGGACTATTCCAGCAGAAGAAGCTTTCATAAAACTCAAACAACAACTCTCCACTGCTAGTGATTTAGCTACTGCAGACTACAAGTCTACGTTTTTCCTTGATGTTTCTGGATCAGAAACTCATGTAAATGGAGTTCTGTTCCAGAAAAAAGGGGGAGGTCAGAGACAGGTCTTGATGTACATAAGTGTCATGCTAGATAACATGGAAAAAAGACACCCACCCTGCACACAACATGTAGCAGGCCTTGCAAAAATTTTACAAAAAACAGCACATATTGTAATGGGCTATCCTCTGAAAGTACTAACAACACACAGTGTAGTAGCTTACATTACATCACAAGCTTTCACCATGAACCCACTAAGACAAAGAAAAATCAGTAAGATCCTAGAGGCCCCACACATCACCTACACACATGAAGGGATAAACATGGCAGACCACATGAGTAATGGGGAACCTCATTCGTGCGAACAAAGAACAGCAATAGAAGAAAAAGTCAGGCCAGATTTAAGTGCAATCCCACTACAAAATCCTGATAAGAACTGGTTCACAGACGGCTGTTGCTACAGAGATGACAATGATGGATTAAAAGCTGCCTGGGCAGTAGTAGAGCAACTCCCTACAGGCGAGTGGTTCACTGCAGGAGCGGAAAAGCTGAAAGGACAACAGTCAGCACAGAGAGCAGAAGTGTTAGCTATTATTGCCGCTCTCAAAATGAGTACAGGGAAGAAAGTAAATATTTACAGTGACTCAGCTTATGCTGTAGGAGCCGTACATGTTGAATTGAAACAGTGGTTGAGAGCTGGCTTTGTGACTGCTGGGGTGAAACCCATAAAACATGAGTCTGAGATGAGGGAACTAGCAGAAGCCTTATTCCTTCCAGCAGAAGTGGCAGTGATAAAATGCAAAGGACATAGTCAGGGCTCTGACTTTATATCTAAGGGAAATCAGGAGGCAGATAGAGCTGCCAAGATAACAGCTGAATATCTTCCTGTGTATAATCTAATGGTTGAAACAGTAGCTGTTGAAAAAAGCATTGATCCTAGGATCTCCATCACAAAAGAAACACTGAAGGACATGCAAGATCAGGCTTCAGCACAGGAAAAAACTTTATGAATGGCAAGAGGCGCCACTAACACAGATGTTTGGAGAAGTCCAGATGGTAGACCCATACTACCACCTGGCATCAGGCAAACAGCAATGGAAGAAGCGCATGGTGTTGGACATGTTGGTGTAGCACAGATGGTGAGGAATTTGTCCCCCTGGTGGCATCCATACCTAACAGACATGGCCAGATATTTGGTTAAAACTTGTACAGAATGTACTCAGTTTGGCATTAAACCTACCCTGAAACCAATCCAAGGTCAATTTCCAATACCAACATGCCCTGGAAAAGAGATAATCATAGATTTCACAGATATGATTGACAGGGTAAAAGGCTACAGGTATCTCCTAGTGTGTGTAGATGCCTACACTGGATGGCCGGAGGCTTGGCCTGCGAAAAAAGAAGACAGCAAAACAGTCATCAAATGTTTGATCAATCATTACATTCCCCAACACGGGTTCCCGGAAAAAATTAGATCGGACAATGGGACACATTTTAAGAACAAAGATCTACAAGAGGTTGAAACCATGCTGGGACTGAAACACAAGTTTGGTTCAGTGTATCATCCTCAGTCCCAGGGAAAGGTGGAAAGGATGAATCAAACGCTAAAGGTCAAATTGGCTAAAATCTGAACACAGACCAAACTAACTTGGTTAGAAGCTCTGCCCCTTGCTCTGATGTCCACACGGAGCTCAGTTAACAAAACCACAAGGTTTACTCCCTTTGAACTACAGACTGGACGGCCGTTTCCAGGACCCGCCACAAAACTACCTCTGACTGCTGACCTGACTGACTCCCTCGACTCAAGGTCATATTATAACCTGTTGCATAGTCTTGTCTCTCAGTTCTCGTTACAGGTTAAGGCTGATCGTACCACCACAGATGCCCCATCTCCACAACCTGGGACAGACTGGGTCCTGCTGAAAGTCACCAAAAGGAAGTGGACGGAACCAAGGTGGACCGGACCCTACAGGATCACGGAGAGGACGTCACACGCTGTCCGGCTGGACGGCAAAGGAGACTCCTGGTACCATTGGACCCAGTGTGCTGCAGCGGAAGAGCCACACCGCACCCTGACCGAGGTCCAAGAGAACCTGTCACAAAGGGAGGAGCCTAACCTGGAAGAGAAGCAGCCGACAACTGCCTGACCAGGAAAGAGGACCCAAGGACCAGGACGAGAAGCAGCCGACATCTGCCTAAACAGAAAAAGGATCCAAAAACCAGGAAGAGAAGTAGCTGACTACAGTAGCGTGCCAAGCTACCAATTCTGCGGGACGAGGTAGCATGCCAAGCTGCCACCACATCCTGCAGGACGAGAATCTTGACATCATCACCCCCTGCAGCTGCCTGGAGCCAGTGAAGGGACCTTAACAGGGGGAAGAAGTAACCACCCTACGAACATTCTACAAGGGTTCTATTTAACACCCTTCATTTATCTTACAAGGGTTATATTTAACACCCTCCATTATTTTATCAGGGTTCTATTTCACACCCTCATTTATTTTACAAGGGTTCTATTTTACCCCCTCTACTCATTTTATATTATTACTCATTTATCTGTTTTAGTATTAGATATATGTTTGCGCTCATTGCATTTCCAAACTCAATTCTGAATGTACAGATTGATCACCATTGCCATCTCTCCTCCACCTGCTGACCCAATTATCCAGATGCCCTTGTTACTAGCCAATCCTAACATCTATTTGGGAGGGGAACCCTCTGATGATAGTGATGACTCTCATGATGAAGAAGATGATGTTAGAGTGTGAGAATGTTCAGTGATTTATGTAACAATCCCTTCACCTGTTCATTTCTATGAGTTTTTGATTGTGTTGTTTTTATTTTTTGATCATTGATGACCTAGGCATGCCCACTCTGTGCCAAAAGGCGTTCGTCCCAAAATGGGAGGACATGGGGGAATTTTCCCTATTAACGTACGATAATTAGGGTTTTTCGCCCTCATACGGGTGAGCATGCGATCCAATCATGTTGTAACATGTTCAGTTACATATATGATCATGTTTTTTGTATTGGTTTACTGCTGGAAATATGAGAAGCTGTAATCTGATTGTTTGTATTGGTGTTTTAAAACTTTGCTTATTAGATTCTTTTTGATGAAATTTGGTGTTGTTGTTTTGATTTCCTACATCTTTGTTGAACTCTTAAAAGAGTTCAAAAGGGGGATTGAAAATATATGTATCTACCTTATAAGCTTCTTTTATATATTTACCTTATAAGCTCATTTGTATTACTCTATGCTATGGACACTTGCTCAGATACTCAAGGCCTCTACACAAAGATTTACAGCAGCATGTTCTGTTCTGCACCATAGAAGGGAGTGAGCACATTCCAGCTCCTCTCACTCTCCTCTCGGTACCGGCGAATGTATCTTTCTGTCAAGGATGTATCAGGATGTTCCTAGTAATCTCAAGGATGCATGTTCTAGTGATGTATTAAACTGTCCACTAACAAGGCTGTTATTTTTTACCTGTCATGACCAATGACGTATGTACATGGCAAACTGCGTATGTAACATTCCATTAATCTTCAATAAAAATCAGCCGTTTTCAGCAGAACGGAGAGAGTGTCTGAAGCAACTGTCAGGAGCAGATCGCGGGACCTGCTGAAGTTGCAAAGCTCTCTCCCCTCTCGAGCGGTGAAACAGTGACTGGACTTCTCTGATCATTTGACTCCACATTCTGCC